TTCAAACGATCTTTTTATCAAACGTCCGTTTGAAACTTCGTTTTCTAATCGTCCGTTTCAAACGACTGTTTGATTGGTAACAAACGAGCGGTTGAACTAACGTCATTTGCAAACTAGATTACCAATCTGAGCCATTACCTATTTAACTTTGGGAGATTTAACTACATCGAACTAGTGGTGCAAATACGTGCAACTACGTATATAGAATTGTTTAGCAGAAACAATAATATATATGTAATAGAGTCAACCCATATACTGTATCCGACTTAATGCATCTCGACTAATTCTATGGATGGGCCAGTTTCATCCAAAAAAACTTTTATCTACCAAATTTTTAATTTAAGAATCCACTATTCAATTTACGTTATAAAAATCGGGTGAAACACCATCAACCCTAAATCTAATCTCGATACACTATCACTAAGTCATAACACGCACGTAGAGAAAATTTGTTGATTTTGATGATATGGTATAAAATCTATAGTGTATGGTCTTTCTATTAAGTGAAATTTTCTTAATGTTTAAATTCGCTGCTCAAAAATAAATTTTCTACCAACATATATTAACAACCTCATAATACTCTAGAGGAGGGGTAACAAAAACAAAAATTGCATTCGTCTAAAGCAGTTTGGCGTGGAAGAGGACCGCTTTATCTTGACCGCAAAATCAGCTTATCGAATTATTTTATGTCTCCCAAAATTTCAACTGAAATTTTCATTTGTCGGTGAAATCATTCCACAAGGACACTGTCATGATGGTTGATAATTCAATTTACATGGTGGAAGGTTTTTTTGGTGTTGGTATCGGTTGGTGATTCGTAAGTAAATAATTTGTCAATGATAAAATTCTTTGTTGGAGCCCACAAGGTAAAGTGATTTTTTTTACTAAAGGAGAAGACTTTTTAGTTTTATGCGTTCTTCGTGATAATCAAATTAATGATTAGTAACTTAGGATATGAACAGAGTCGGCCTTAATACTATATGGGATCAAAAATATAGAAACAGAGAAATGCAAGTTTCCTTCACTTAAATAGAAATTCCTTTCTGATATTATGACAACAGCAAAAACAAATTTATTTAACCAGAGCTTGCAATAAAAGAAAGAAAAAGAGCTTGAAGGAAGATTAACTTCCATTAACCTTCTTACAGTCTAATCTAATCTCTCCACTACTCCCAGTCAAGGGACTAATATTCCCCATGTTGATCATAGACTGAGCAAAGGTCTGAAAAAACAGAGTCTGGTTACTTGCAAAAGAAGTAACAATCGCGATTGTGGCTGAACCCGTGGTAGAGAAGAGTTCTTGGTCTGACTGAAGAAGTCCATTGTTACTCTGAAGGTTCGTAAAGTAGTTGTTATCAAACGCATCAGGTGTAGTCAGATCGAGATTTGTAATCCCCGATCCGCTTCCATTTTGAGGACATATCTGTTGAAGACTGCTTAGAAGCGTCGTATTCAAAGTGGGGTCAGGATTTCCTGACCCGCTAAAGTTAAATAGTCTGTTGCTGAACACTCCGCATCGAGCACGTCCGAACGTATGCGCACCTAGGTAGATGAAAACCAAAAGAGGTGGCTTTTAGGGTTTTATTTTTCTTGAGCCACAAGTTAGCTAAACATGTAAGATAAAAATTTACCAGATAAGGCTACTAGATCGTTCGTGTTTAGCCCAACAGCTGAAAATTTAGATGTGATGTTGCTAAGGCTTTCAGAGGGAGAGGGAATGGACGAATTTGCCCCGGCCTGGTTCGCGGTGAGACCATCTCGTCTTCCTAATAATACGGTCCATGAAGGTCCTCCTGCCTAAAGATGATCAAACATATATATGAACATATAAGTATCTTGAATACTACCAAAACAGTTTTCATGAAGCAGAAATTGTTAAAACAATCTAAGTTGGACTTTTATTTAGTTGTATGTGTTTTTGTTTTGATATGTAATTTACCAAAGACACAGAAGCCTCTGAGGCAAGGGCTAAAACGTCAGAGCAAGACACAACGCCGGGGCAAGCGTTTTCAAGAGCAGTCTTGATATTATCGACAACGCTGAATCCTCTAGCCGAGTTTGCGTTCGGACCAGCGTTCTTCTCGCTCTGGATGCTTCCACTATCGTCAAGCAAGATCGAGGCGTCGCAACCCTTTTAAAAGTATAAAGAAGCAAATTAGTGGTTTGTATGGCGAAAAAATATCAAAAGGCCTTTATGTTAGTGAGTTGTATTGAAGAAAAGATTCTTATACATTAACAAAACAGTCGTGAAAATGAAGACGGATCAGGCTGGCTCCGATTCTTGAATCGGTTTGAAGAGCTTGCTGAATAGTGCTACGAACGATGGTTGAGGCATTAGGGCAAGTTCCCAAGTAAAACGTTGCGTTTAACTGCGCAGATGATGTTCCAAACAATGAAGAAGAGATCACGAGAGTGGTGAGAATTATGAAGGAGAAACCATCACAAATAGTAGAGGGATTTGTTACAGCCATTGATTAAGTTTTGCAAGTATCACGAGTTGTGATTAGTTTTAATCTCCCTGATTGGTGCAGAGCTTATGAATATTCCATATCATTTTGAAATCATAATATATATAGTGAAGAAAAGTTGATTAAACGCGTATAGATTGACTGATCATGAAAGTGATATGAAATTATAAACCAATTACTAGATCAACGTGTTTGTTTGTGTACTTAGTCCAAAAGATGGAAAAGAAAAGCTGGTGCTTGAACATTTTGTTTAGTTTCTTTAGGTTACACCATCTCCATCACTTGCATTATTGTAATCGCACGCGGTTAGTAAAAGAAGTTGTAAACAGTTTTATATGAATATACAAGATTTTTGCGTTCTTGAGACGAAATCGGTCCTCAAAGTAATCAATTTTTTTTTTGGTTCTTTCATTAAAAATTGAATACACTAAAACATGCTATAAACATATTTCAATCTCAAAATAAAACCATAGACTCCCATGTTTATTCAGTCAGGGAATTCATATCAACATGGACAGAATCTGAACGAATATCTCAATTCTCACAATGAATACGCATTTTTTTAGAAAAACTTTTTTAAAAGTTTAGTCTACAAAATTATTTTGTAAGTCACATGCCTTCAAGAGTTGTTGGCGCTTTACAGCTGTATTTTCGGAAAAAAACAAAATAGTTCATAATCAAGTGTTACTTCACTGATTTTGATAAAGATCTCCAAAAGTCTCTAACTTACTTTGGAGATGTTCCTTTGACATTAGTTACCATGTAGAACAAAACATTTAAAGATGCGTGACTAGCTCCGGAAACTTCGAGTGACGGTGATATGAATAATGAGTCTTATAATAGAAAATGGAGTTAATTTGTAGAATATCATTTTTGAAAAAGAAAATTAGGTATAAGTAACATGTTCAGAAATATAATTAGATAAATAGCAAAGATGATTAAATATAAAACGAAATTATCCCTGATGAATCCATACAAATATTAAATATTGTATTAGTTAACTATTTATAGTTGACTATTTTGAAAGTACATATTCTACTGATCTCATAAGACAGTAACTATTTTTTAGAAAATAGTTACCAATTTAAAAGAGTAGTTAACTATTTTTAGAGCATAGTTGTCTACGCTACCGATTTCATAACATAAATGACTGCATGAAAATGTTGTTGTAATAGTTATTTATTTAAACAAAAATAGTTACTATGTTCCTAACGTAGTTACCTATTATAGTTTGTATAATGAAAAAATAATATATATAATTAACTATTATGAAAAATTATTAACTATTATGTTATGTTCTTATATGATACCGAACGTAGTTAACTATTATTAAAACATATGATACCGAACATAGTTAATTATTATTAAAAATATAGTTACCTATTATAATTTTCGAATCTAGTTAACTGTATTGACCTCAGTCTTTTTAATTTTCATTAAAGGTAAAAACGAAACATAAAAACCTCATATTGTTAGTGAATAAAAACCTCATATTGTCTATTAAATAATATAGAGTGGAATTCCCTAGAAAATATTTGCCATTTTTGAAAATACAGTACTATATATTAATGAAGGATAAAACGCTTAATCGCGTCAAAGATAATAACGCTAAAGCGTTAACAAACTGTGAGAGCTCTGAATCTTTGACTCATAATATTTCGGTACCCGGAAACAGTATTTGGATATTCCGATTTGAAGAATAACCTTCTATACCAAAGCAGATTTAAATCCAGGACACAAGAGAACCAATTTCCTTGTGTTACCACTAGGAATTTTAATGTTGTTTCAAACACTTTATAGTTTATCGCAGTTGCTTTCTAAATTCCAAAAAAAAAAAAAATTGCTTCTAAATCTGAAATGAAATCCTAACCACTTCGCTGTTAATTTCTCATGACTTATAATTTTTTTCATTGATTGACACTAAAATTATTAAACACCATTGACCATGACATTGTTTTTTTTGTCACGACCATGACATCATCTATATATTAAAGTATAAATATTTTAAGATTATTTTGATAACGTATCAAACTCTCAGTTTTTCTCAATTTTTTTTCATAATTAAACACAAAATAATTATCTTATAGTATCTTACTATCCAAACACTCTTCATGATATAACCTCTATAGCCAAACATAATGAATGTAATTAAATGTACACAATCTTAACATTACAAACTTACATCATTTATTTAAATATTATTTTATTGAATTTCCAGTTACGTATCTTCCACAAGAATGACTCATTACATGAAGAAACATACTAACTACGAAATCAATAGATCATGAGATATCTTTTTCTAATTTCTCCTCCGAAAAACCTAATTTCTAGTCGAATGCATTTCACCAAGGCTTCAAGGTCAAAATAACTACTCTGCAAACTAAATCAAATAACCATGTTTTAGGCTATCTCAATACTTTTACCAAACACATTATATCATTTAGTTTAAATATGGTAGAATAAGAATACAAATTGGATATCGACAAATAACAAAACAATGCTGGAAGTCTCTACACTTGTTTTTTTAATAGAAAGCCCTTT